CCGCCCGCAGTTTCGCCCGCGTGTAGTTCGGTTATATCGCGTTTCGAAGAGAACCCTTTAAAAATCTGGGATAAAAACTATCCTATGTTCTTTCTCAAGGTCAACTCCATCTCTGTACCAAATTTCATTAAAATCAGTTCAGTGGTTTAGGCGTGAAAGCGTAACAGACAGACAGAGTTACTTACGCGTTTATAATATTAGTAGGGATAAAATACCAGTTATTGTCTGCGACTTTAGCTCAGAGGATAATGTATAGTGTGTTAAAATATATGGTAAGATCAACAGCGACATATAAGTGCGTTTTGTAAGTCTTTAACAAATACAATGGTAAGTCTTTCACCCTACAAGAACTACCTGCTAACTACTACTTCTACTACTACTACGGAATTACTGTATAATTGGTATCCTATATCTTATTTTGATATTTAAGTTACATAACTTAAAATTTTTATCAAAATTAGTTTAGTACTTTTTGCTTCAAAGAGCAACATATTCATAAACTTTCGCATTAATTTTATGAGTAGCATCTATATATCACATAGTTTAAATAGTTTTTATTTAAATTTAAAGTAATATATTCATATTTCGTTTGTTAGAAAAATAGTATCTGCATTGAATTTATGGCTCATTATTAAGTTTAACATAATGTATTTACTTTTAAATTTAATTACATTTTTACTGTAATATGTAGATATATGTTTTAATTTGTTTTACAGTTGAAAATATTAAAATCATTGGTTGGTTATTATGGGCGTCATCCGTGTAAAATACTTTATATATCCACATTATTATTTGAATTTGACAACAGATAAAGAAGAAGATAGTTGAAATAAATAAAAAGTATGCATATTTAATGTCAAAGATATAATTTAAATATTTTAATTAATATCAAACAAACATGACGAAATCTTTTAAAACAAAATAAACAATGGTGATTAGTGTTGATTAACCAATAAAAGGTCCAAGATGACAACGTTTTATCGCGCGTATTTCAATTAGTTACTCAATTGGTTACGATAAAACGCACTTCAGAAGAAAGTTCTCGTGTGAAGTATTTGACAGCGAAAAAATATGTTAATGTTGCCAGTTATGAATAATTATAATAATGTTGCCATGTAAAAATGACATGGCTTTTAAAATGTCTGCATTTTTAAGCTATTTTTAATATATTATATAATTAGTTATCTAATTTATTGAACTTAAAATGATACGAAATATTAGTCCTATAACAATAAGATCATTTTTAACTGGCATTTACATCACGTTATAAGCACTAATCTTCTTTAATACTATATGTGACAAGATTTATGTTTGTAGTGAGATGCATAACATGAAGTAAGCGTACTATTCTGTTCTGCGTTTACAAAGATTCGCTGCCATAGTTTAAAAGAGGAAAAGACTCGGCAGATCCTGGCTAAAACTAGGAGGATGCCAGGAAGGAGAAGCTTAAGAGACGAAACTTCTCAGCATTCCATAGATTCAGATATTTGAATTTAATGAAAGTAAAACTAAAGTTATTTATAATCACATTACTATTTGTGGTTTATCTAAAAATGCATTTGTTTTAATTAAATTTATAAATATTAATGTCTAAAGTCAACGACTTAGTTTAGTTCCGCCACAATGTTTTGATGGTTTTGCTCTACTGGTCGTTTGAATATATTATAGTAAATTTTTTCACATCGGCCCTGCGCTCGCTTTTATTCCCACGTTACAGTTATTCATTAAAATAATATGAATTAAATTTGAATATATAATTTCAGTGCATTATGTTTTTTAATAATGTAAGTATAGATTTGTTGTGGCTGTTTCAAGCCGATTGAGTATTTGAAAAAAGTTGCTAGCTATTTTTTTCAACACTAGTATAAGATTTATGTTATATTCAATATGTTACTATAAATTAAATATGATATTACCTATATAAGTATCTCTTTTTTTTCAATACACATTTTTTTAACTATAAACTAAGGCTTCATTCGCACTAGAATCTTAGAATTTGGCCAATTTTAAACTTTAAATTTGTTAGACGAATGTTATTTGTTAGACAAATTCAATACACAATTAATATCAATGTTGATATCAAACGTCAAACCGAAATGTATCAACCTGCTCACTTCCTGAATCAACCGTTTCCACACGTAATGAGCGGAGATAAGGTTTCTTCACCCATCGCGGTTCACGCGTCATTTAACACATTTATTATACTATTAATAAAAAAAACACAACACAGTTACAAAAAAAACAGGTAAAAAATTAAGTAAAACAAACTAGAAGGATTATAAAATTTAATCATTATCCCAACGTCATTTAAATTTGGATTATCCTTGATATAAATACTTTTTACATGTTATCGGCTGTTTAGATTTGAACCATTGACAAATTCATCTGACATAACGTATGACATTTGCAACAAGTCAATAGAGTAAAACCTTTTTAGATCAACCTCTGTTCACACAAAGGGGAGGAGTCATAATATTTTTATTTGGTTCGGATAAATGACATTAATTTTCATCATATAAAAGGTTCAAATAAAACTCTCGTGCTCTAAAATAGATCGGAGGGGAGTAACTAGCGGCATCCTCCCCTCATCCGGCGAGCTGTCTCACGCGACCCCTACATGGACACCATGGACCCCACAGCATGAGATTTAGAACATACAGCTTACATACAACATATAGATAACCTAACAAGTCCACAGATTATATTTTTAACCGACTTCAAAGTAAGGAGGTTTAACGATATATTTTTTCGTAATTATTATAAAACTAATTTAATGGAAAATAAATAGGAAAGAAGATGTCGTTTCTTATTATAAAGGGTCTCAATTGAATTTCGTTCAAAGATATATAGAGGTCACAATCGGTTGAAAATGTAAGGGAAGGAACCAAAAGGTTTCCTTTTTACTCTAACAAAAATAATTAGTTTAAACACAAAAGTCGAATTTAATTTTATTAATAACCAAAAATGTGTTTCTCTTAACTAACAGTTTAACTGTATCAAGTTGAACTTAAACCTTAACACTGTAACCGGTAACTGGCTGTTAGGAAGATTAACAGGAACTAACGTGAAAGTAAACAAAACAAAGCATCCGCTAACAAAAATGCGATCTGTTGCATTTCCTTTACACCTCGGCAATGCGTTGAGTGTTACAACACAACACGAGAAACATTAAAACTATACAATACTATTAAAATAACAATTTAAATATTTATTTCACGTAATTGTAGTCAAATAAAGTTTATTTTTTATCATAGATGTCAAAATAATCTAAATATAGTCTATGCTTTCGAAACGTCACCGAAAATTGCGTTTAAAAACAGTAAAAATATAAAATGTTTTACGATTTCCGCTGATAGAAAACAGTTTAAGTATTTGACATAAAATTATATATGGATGATAAAAATTTGTGTTAAATAAACAGTAGAAAACAATATTATTATTATTATATTTGTTAATATAAGTATTGAACTTAAATATCTATATATGTATGTATGAAAGAAAGTCGTGTTAGTTACACTATTCATAGCTCAAGAACGGCTGTAGGGATATGGTTGAAAATTGGTGGAGAGATAGATTAGAATCAGGAGACGGACATAGGAAATATAATTCTGTTCGATCGAAAAAGAAAACAAAACGTAATAAATTCCATAATATCTGGTTATTTCTATCTCCAAAGGCGTAATAGAGTTCGCCCCGTCAACTGTTCATATATTACTAATTCCGAAATTAACACCAACGAAGTCGCGCGCAAAAACTAGTATGTAATAAAATATTAAAAGCAAAATATCAAATATGCTTCCAACAAATTGTAAACGTCCAAAAGTAAATTGAGACGTCAATTGACTATTTCGAAGGGTGCGTGCTAGCCACTTAAGTTTTTGCGTTGCTACATAAATTGAACCCAAAATGATAATTTTGACGTTAAACAGTAGTAACTGTCAGAAATTTTGGGGCCCGTTTTATGTCAAGTGAAGCACTATGATGAATACCGCGATAAAGTTAAACGAAAGTATTCTTTTCAATAATAAAACTATAAAATGTTATTGTTTACATAATAATACTATCACAATGTGTTTATTGAATTATTTATAACTTTTTTAATATAAATATTTTATTATAATTAATTAAAATACATAATAGTTTACCAACAATGAGTTACGGTCTAGTTAATATGTAAACAGGTTCAGAAACTGGAATCCTTTTAATAACAGATAATGTTACTAAACTGACATCTTTTGTCAACACAATGTCTACATAAATTATAATGAATTTTACTTGTGTAACTTATATTTAAAACAATATAATTATCAAGTTTAACATTTAAATCATCTTTTTTTTAGCAATGTCGCCATGTATCATATATAATAAATAAACTTTTATAATCTTAATGGGATTTATTATGTTTATCGTATGTTTTTGTACCAATATATTTATTAAATGCCATATATATCGTCGGGTTACAAGTTCAAACTCTATTCAGTTATCAACAAGTAATTATGGACGCAGAAGGTAATTATTTTCGTGTAGTAACCAATATTATACATTTTCGTGATTAAATACATCACTCAAACACTAAATGTCAAAACTGAATTGTAAGTATTATTTTAACCGCCATTTGTCATAAACGAATAAGTAGTTGATATATAATAAAATTATTTTACGATCGTAAATATATTACAATTCAAATATATTTGTAACAAAAATTTGTGTATGATAACAGTCGCAATAAAATAAATCAGATAAAATGTAGACTAAATACAGAAGCAGAAATATAGATTATATCAACGTACAGAAATCATACTTGTACCTAAAGCAAAATATTTTTGGATTCGCTCACGAAATAAATCAAAAGTAGTTTAGATGACATACACGTGAAATTTTATTGAAATTAATATAAAAATTATTGAAACGTAGGTACTTGTATATATTTTATAAGCTAACAATTATAATTAATATTTATTTATACTATATAAATATTATTACTCTATATCTTTACTTACTTGTTGAACGCTGCAGTCTGAAGCACAACTAACGTCGAAGTGTCCTTCGCCTGTACGATTCTGGAAAAAAAATAATTTCATAAGTGAAATTATTAATCACAAAATGATTCTAATTTCTATTATATCATACTTATGCTTGAATTATCGTTACTTTAAAAAGACCTTGTTTTATAAGAACCTGTTTTTGACTGTTTTTCATACATATCATGTTTCAATTCACACGTTTTTTTTCTTAATATGTCAATCCCTACTAATATTATAAATGCGAAAGTAACTCTGTCTGTCTGTCTGTCTGTCTGTTACGCTTTCACGCCTGAACCACTGAACTGACTTTAATGAAATTTGGCACAGAGATAGAGTTGATTTTGAGAAAGAACACAGGATAGTTTTTATCCCAGACTTTTGAAAGATTCTCTTGGAAACGCGATATAACCGAACTCCACGCGGGCGAAGCTGCGGGTGGAAAGCTAGTATTATATAAAATAGTACCTACCAAAGTGTACCTACAGGCTACAGTGATTTTCAATCAATCCTTATATAATATCCGTCATTATTTTCCGTTCAAACCTGTCCTGTTACAATAGTTTTTGTTAATAATCGCGGCCGGACATTGTCTGATAGCTTCCGCTGTGCGCACGCGCATCAGAGCGTGCCGTGCGACGTACGACCGTTCGTGATCAGATTATTACATATAAAAACTCTTCTATAATATACATTAATGTTAGAATAACTGTCTTTACTTTAATAAACAAATTTGTCTATTTTTTTCATTAATACAGACATAAAACGTTAAAAATCTGATATTTTTACGAGTTATAAGAGTATATTTTCAATGTTTAACTATAAATTTGTATTAGAACATATAAAAACACATATATTACGTTTTTCATATATATTTTCAATAACAAAGTGTCTATTTATTAACAAATCTCGTTTTTTATACCACAGCTTATAATCAACTATTATCCTGTGATACATGTGTATTATATTATTATGAAAACCTTTATTCCTCAAACCGTAACCACTGACTGGTGTATAATGTTACATTTGGAAGACCTATGAGTTTCTTTTCCGGTCACACGCTCGCAAAAAATATGGAACAGGTCCCACTGATTAATACACACACTGTTATTATATTATATATGAGATTAACGAATAATATATATTAATATTATATTTAAAGAGTACGTGAAATTATTTATTTCAATGTTCTTTTGATCAATTTGCAAATGTTAAGCGCTGTGGAACGAATGAATGAATGTAGAATGTTTGTAATATGAATGAAAACGAAAAATTTTAATTCGTATAAGATAATTATGCATTCGAATATGAAGAAGGCATTAAAAGCATATCCTATATAAAAAAATATTGTGTCTAGTAAGGGTTTTGCATGTTCTTTCTCCAAACTGACGACTCTAATAGAAAATATAAATTATTTTTTTCGTTTTTACTTTAGAATCATAATCAGCCCTTAATAGGAAATAATTTAAGAAAAATTGTTAAATAAAATTGTAGTGTTGTAATTGAGAAAATATTTGTTTATGAACTTTTTCTTATAATAACATTATTTTAATTTTTTGATATTATTTTTAAGTTAAACTAAAGAATTATTAATATTATTAAAGTTTTTTAGTTTATCGTTAAACACAACTTATTAGTATTCTATTACAAGTCGTATATTTACAATTAAAATATTACATTGCAAGAAAATTTGTCCATTATTATTTCTAATATCGCATTTATTTATAACTAAAAAAAGCTAGAAAAAAATTTTACAGCCTACATCACAGTGTTTTAAATCTCTCAAATCAAACAATATTAAATGTAATAATAATTTCACAAACAGATAAGGTTTCTATCAAAAGTACAATAATATTTCCTTCTATAAATCTAAACTTTGTTTTACTAAAGAGCCAAATGATGTATACTTCATACAATAACATAATAAGTATTGTATAATATACATATATTTGTACATCACACTTAGTACAGCATTTAATTCAACTCTAAAATGCCGTTTCGCTATAATCAAAAAAATAGATTAAACTAAATGAAAGTAATATTTCTCGTATTAAAAAAAAAGGAGATTTTGCCAGATCTCGTCTGTCCGCGATCATTTTTGCTAAAATATAACCAAAATTTCGAGAGTATGTACTTAGTTTCAAATAATAAAATACGCGAAGTAATCCGAATAATATTAGTTTCATTTAAATGAATACTCGCGAAGGTCTTAGATCTCATTATAAGTACTCTATTTTCTAACTCTTCTGATAAATATAATGTTGAAATCATAATTAATTAATATAATATACAATAGGCAGACCCTGGCTAAAGCTGGGAAAATACCACAAAAAAAAAAGAAGACAATATGATCATAATAAAAAATTACAATAATTTCAATCATATTATGAGTTTAAATATTTTAAAGGAATGTTTAGTTTTATCATTTAGTGATGTTTATTATGTCCTAATTCTCTCCAAGGCCGATCTGTACTAACCTATTTTTAGCTCTCCTTCGTTTATTATCCGCGTGCTAATTGTCAACAATTAATTGTCCGTTGAACCTTAGCGCCGTTTGTTGCACACAAATAATTGTTAGCGATTTTTGTATATGTAGCATCTCGGCTTAAAACGATTCGAAAAACTATATAACGGTTTTTTTATACAAGTTTTTCATTAAAAATAATTGTTAGACTTTATTTTTTAGAGTATTTTATTTATTAAAATAGTGTTGTCAGTGTTTCAAACTTCGTACTTGTTTACAGAACCTGTGACCCGTGACAGATATTAAGAAGTATTTGAACAGTTTGCGTAATCACATCCATATATTTTAAAAGTGATAAATTATATTATTGAATACGGATAACGTGTATAAACAATCAAATATATCAAATAAAATAAACATATAGCCTGTATTGAATTCTGTAGGTATTGTTTTGTTTAATTTTTACCTGGAATGGACATTTTTCATTGCACCGAGCAACGGCTTCCGCTCCAAATTTCTCTGTGATGGAACTGTAATCGCATCCAATTGTGCGAACGGACAAAGCCAATCCCAACAGCGACAGATACAACCATTTGTGCCAATTCCACTTACTCATTGTTAAAAACACTTTACAACAATAACATTTCATATATCATGAACAACTCATTATAAGAATTCATTCATTATAACTCCGAACTACGAAATTTTTATAACTATACTTTATTGTAGTAGCGTGATAGATGCGCGTGCGCAGTGAAAGCTACTCGCATACTGACGTTAAACGACCCGCCGCCCGAATACCAGCTACGAGGCTACAGGGCGCTACGGACATTCAATTAATTAAGATTACCTGTTGTGGCATGCGAACTTAGGTATGATTACCTGTTGTGGCATTTGAATGTTAATGTGATTATCATTTGTAGCATTCAAACAATTACATATATCTTCAACTGTTGGATACAAATTTGAAACTGTTTGGTGGTAACCTGTTTATTTATTATTATTAATAGTAGTTTTATGTACATTTATATATTAAAACGGTATTTTATTTATAAAATACTCTGTTCCTAACTGTAAGACCTTCCAACAAAAAAACAAATTATTAGATTTAGTACTTAAATTTTAATTTAAATACCTTAAGAAAAATTCAAAGAAAGTCAACATTTATGATATTTTTTCTTGGCTTTGTATTGTTGTAATGTGTTCAATAAAACTTAATGAATAACCAATTGAAATGAGACTAATATTTTGTTACTGTTTTGTATCTACATAATTTTTATATGTACATATCAGTACGCTAGAAGATTAAGAAATAGATGGCTGTAGATGACAAATAACAAGACTGACTGACAGACACTTACAAGTTACATCTCGTCTGTCCGTGATCACGGTTGCTGTGAAATAACAGAAAAGTAGAAATTATGTACATAGATATAAAATAATACAAAAACGCTTAAAATTAGTATCAGAAGTACGTAGTTTTATTTAAATGTGTACTCGCAAAAATATTTGATATCAATAAAAAAATTAATATTTTTTTTATAGTGAATTGTATCGTGTTTATTATATGGACATATAAAATATTTCTTAATTATAGACTATCTTAAAAAAATTATATGGAATATGATTTTTGTAATTTGTAGTATTTTTTTTCTGTCATTTTTACTATATTGTGAAATGCCAAAGTTACTATTATAAATATTGCCATTTTACTAAGAATGCATACAGAAATATTTAATAAGATAATTACAACTATATTATTTAACTTTTGATTTAGACAATAAAAATTATAAATATATAATAAAATCCCATCAAGAAACCTATAATTTAAATGAATTTATATAGATTGTTAAGCCAATGATGTTAATATAAGATGACGGGTTACCAAGCGAGGTTTGAACGTCGTTCTTCTAACAGCATTCAATTAGTTAAGAGACTTCCCACGCAGCTACAACATTCCATAAGAAGACTGATTTCATATACGTATATACATATCTATGTCATTTAAAACTATTGATTTGATTTTGGGTTAAACAGAAATAGTATCGTAATTTAAAATATCTTTTAGTAGGACTTAATGGAAACAAAATCATTATAATGCATTTTAAATATACCTAAGTTTTATATTTGGGTATTTCAGCGACCAAAATGAATTTTCTGTTTTAAAATGTTCATGTTATCTTTGAAATCGATATAGTTGTACAAATAATTATTTTTAAAGGTCTGGTTGAGGATTTAAATTAATTTCAAGCTACTCGACATTTAAAAAGTTTTAAGTCTTATTTGTAGATATATAACATATAAACGAAATTATGAATTAAACAGCATCTTTTTACTGTAAAATTTTGTAATATTAGATATATATATTTTAATTACATTTTCTGTCTGGGTTTTATTTCATACCATGAATTAGTGGATTAATGTTGCGGAAAAAAATTAAAATATATAAAAAAAAGTCTCGTTGTATCGTTGTATAAAGAAAAAGATATAAACTCACCAACAGCTGCGCATTATCATAATTAATCATTACAGGTTTATTTTTCAAATAGCGCCATCTATGATTATTGTTGTATATTAAGATGCTTTTTAGCTCTCTAAATAGCTGGGTTTAGAGTAGCTATCAAAGTTTTATAATAGATGGCGGTATTATTTATTTACAAATTTGTAAAGTCAGATTTTTATTATTAATTATTTAATAGTTCATTTACTTAGATTTTTTCCAGTAAATTATTTAAAAACTCAGAACTTTTTTTATTTAAAAATAAGACGTAACATTAAGTGAATATTTAAAAACCATAAAAATATTTTTTGTTTGTTTTATCTTCATTGTATAAAATATGTGTTTCATGGATATAAAAACAGATTCGAGGAAAATACGATAAGTTCTCGGTACAAACACTTTATCTTTTATTAACATTTATTTTATCTCTAAAAAAGGCAACAAAGTAATCATTCAAAACTAAACAAATACAGAATTCTTTTGGTTAACCAAAAACATATTGTTCCTTACTTCTGTCTCGAGAGCCCTGCATTTCATTTCCACTTCTCGGTGCCTATAATGCAACACTAAAGAGATTTTAGAATTTAGTGGAGCTATATTAAAACATCCTTCACTCAAAAATCTTATAATAATCTCCTAATGTCATTAAGAAAAAGGTTTGTACATAGATGGGTGGATGTACGTTTCATATTCTTTTATGCAAAAAAAAAGTATCTATCAATTTCAATAACATATAATAAATTAACAGCTCATTATTATCAGAATCACTACATCTATTTAAATATAATTACTTAATTAGTTTCTTGTGATTTCAGCAGAAACTTACATTAATTTGTATTTTGCACGCAATTACCTGAAACGAACGATAGATGGCGCTACATCATCTCTCATAGTATTCATATTTCATAGTATCATTCTTTTGGACAAAACATGTTTTTAAATTTGTTCCTATAAAAAAATAATTTGACGTCTCTTATTAACGTTAAATATATTTTCCTTAAGCGGAATAAAAACTCAAGACATCGAATATCAAGGTCATTATATTTCCTATGCACACTTATCTTTTCCTGTTGCATACAAAATATGTACATGATTATTGTAAGCGTAACAACTTTCTAGAAATAAATAGTTATGTTCCTAGTGTTTTTGATACGATATCTGGAGGTAGAGTTAGAAACAAAATCATAAAAAATTGTAAGATTAGATTGATATGACTCAATATTAAGGTGGACTTTATATTATAAGGACTCTGTAACTTTATACTGATTCATTTAAACTGCTGAATCACACACGAAGGAAAATAAAATTGTGTTTTTTATTGCAGACATTAACTACAAATTTACACTGGTTTTACTTGTATTTTCTTCGTTCTCTATATGTAAAACTTATAAATTATAATTATGTTTTTAAGATATTAGATCACTAATAATTTATTACCTTCACATGGAGGACAATACTAAGTTTTTGCGAAACAATTAATTATACGAAAGACTACTAGAAAAATGAATACAAATATTTTTATTATTATTAAAGTGAGAAATACCTTTTTAATGTAATCACATACTTTTAAACATACATATTTATAACAATAATGACTTGCAACGTGTTTTTTTAGTCTGAAGATAAATAGTACAGTAATTGTATTATAGAGTAGTATACAAGTCTTTGTCAAAAGGCAATTTAAGTAGAATTTATACTTGTATATACTTTAATAAAATGGACTTCTCAAAATTATAACTTCACAATACTTATTTCTTTTAAATTGTTATGTTATAATTTGAATACGTTAACATAAATTCAATTTAACTTTTAAATAGCATAACTCATTAGTACCTAATCATTATTTAATTGTGTATGGTAACGATATAAAATGTGTTTATTGTGAATATATTGTAATTTTAATCGAATTTATGTGAAATTAAGCCAAACCTAAGATCGAAATGTTTTCAGTTTGAATATTGTTAATAAAAAAACGTATATGTATGTTTCAATTCCTCTAAATGATGCGAAAATGACCCAAATATATTCCCGAAGAATGACTCACACCAAAGAGTTCTGACGCCATATATGAGATGAAATTGAAATGCAAAAAAACTTTGTGAAATACAGAAGAAAAGAGCATAATACTTAAATAAATACAAAAAATATATACAAATTAATAGTATATTTTATTAACTACCCAATTTTTTTAAAATAAACTATTCAATTTCAATGATTAGGCACTAGCACCAAATGATCGTAACCTATTATTTTAATACATCAATTATTTTATTCTTACGGTACAATCTTAAACTATTAAATTGAAAAAGGGTAGTTGTAATGCAACATGAACATGGTAACCAGGCGTTAAATGACATCAGAGATCATATTAAAAGCTGATGCAACGATCTACTGAAATTATTTTCTCAACAAGAAATATCTATATTTAGATATTTATCTGTATATTTTCATCGATCAGGTACATCACTATCTTCCTACGTTTTACGCACGTGCAACACTACGAATGAAAATTTTTTGCAACAAATTAAAAGCCGAGATTTAAATGTTATCGAATAATTATTTGTTTGTTTTTGTTTATTGTTTTTTATAATAGTAAAGAAAGGTATTTGTTTTTCTATTGTCAGTTTGTTGTCGATTTTTTTTAAATTTCTAAAAACGGCATGTTATTTCTCACTTCAGACGATATCCGATTAAGATAATGATAATCTTGAAAAATTGAACGCCACCCAAACTTAAGAGTGTCTTTTTCAGTTCCTAAAGGAATTTATTGAAGTTGCTTCAAAGTTTTCAGAATATATTTATGAAATAAGCCCACCACCTCTAGGTTTTACCTAGGCACAGGGGTGTACCTACATGAATATTGAATTTTAACTTTAGATGTTCCATTGTTCCATAGCTGAAACAGCGGCCAGGACACTTCATTTCCTTGTAATAGTACCGCAATTTTTTACTACATAACAATTTCCACTTCTATTTGATATGTCGTATGTAGAGAATTGCTTTTTCCATAAGGATTAGGACCCTGTTTAAAAAAGCTATAGATAACCATGACTTGGTTAAAATTTTAAAAATTTGTTTATAGTTAAAGCGTAGTCAATAGTCAGAACTCAAAGCGG